CTCGATGCGCTCCCACATTCTCTTCCACAATAGTGAAATTGGAAACAAACGCGCCACACGCGCCACTGAAGAGATACCCACAAGAGAGGAGTACGGAGTCACAATTAGGTTGATTGAAGTGTTTCCATGATCACCAGTTGGGAGGTAGGAACGCCTCTGCACCTTTATGGCTCCGCACATTACACCTATCAAACACACACGTGGCCTATCAAAACAATCATGTTAACCGATGATCCTGAGTCCAGAGTCCCTATCACACTCTATTTGCTTTTGAGTAAAGAAAGCACGCGGCCGTTCAAGTTGGTGGTCCATTCTCAACGTCCCCGCACCTTGAAAGTATTCCCGCCGATGCACGGATTTCACGGGATCGCCAGGTACTGTTGATCGGGCAGAGAGACTATCTTTGTGCGGTCGCTGCGCCTGTCAGGCTGAAACCACGTGCATAACCATCCTCATGAATGTTTTTGTAACTGCAGCCCTGACGATGGCCCATTCTTGCCTGCTCTAAAAAGTAACAATCACCTGCTGCTGCGGTTCTTCGTGATCCACCATCTCCTTTTTGACAGTAGCGTGTGGCCGCGGTTCATATAGCTTCTTATGCACACAAAACGACGCTGTGAGCAACACCAAACCTCTGGAATACATTCTCGACACATGCTCCTTTTCCACTTTTTTCCAATTATTTCGATCTTTCTTCGCTCAGCAGGAATCACTTTTGCTGTTCTCTCAGACTAGCTGCAATCAAGAACACCACTGCATTCCACAAAAGCTTCTCTCTGATACGTTGATATCGGTAAGAAAGTCAGCAGGATTAGCTGAAGGATTGATCAAAAGACTGAAGTTGAATACTCCTCCGTGCCCGCTGCTTGATCGAAACTCACAAGCTATCGGACGGAGACAGACAAACTCAGTCGAATGCTATTACCCTAAAATCCCATAGATAAGAGCGGTCCATAGATATTTTTTCAAAAATAAAATAAAAATAAAAATATTTTTTCAAAATCATTTTTTACCGGTAAATTAAACCGCTCTTATCTATGGAATTTTACTGATCGAATGGGCTCTTCAAGTTCTATCCAGAGATCAAATTCCGGCATTTCTAGAGAGATTCCGGCAGAAATTCCGTTAAAATCGCTATTTTTCTATATGAATTGTTTATTAAGTGGGCGGGGTTTAGAGTTGAGGGGCGGAGCTTCTTCTAAACTTCTTCTCCGATTTTTATTTATCCATCCATCAAGTTAGAGGGGTGACTGCATTCAATTTCAATTTCATTCCAATTCATTTTTCACCGGTAAATTAAACCGCTCTTATCTATGGGATTTTAGGGTATTAATCAAATAAGAGCTAATCATGCCAGCTTGTCGAGACCAACAGACCGGGAGAAACGCAGCCTAGGTCAGAAAACTCTTGGAAACGCTAGGATTCTTCGACGATTGGTTGAGCCTGTCCGCATACCCAAGAAATTCTTATACAGCACGTGTGGCATACACTCAGGAGAGCTATTGTAGCGCATCCTCATGCTTCAGTAAATGTCCAGTAATTGTCTGGAATGCTCCTCCAGAATAACTCTTGGCCAACTTTGTGGCCGTTATGAGTGCACGTAGCAGAGCATGCGCTGCAGTCCGCAGTGGCTTTGGACCCTATCAAGAACCACTTCCTCTCTTGTAAAGGTTCATTTTGAGTTGGTTTAGCTTCACTCATCATCGCGTCAGTCACGGTCTTTGAGAAGAAGTGCCTTTTCCAGTAGTCCCATTGCATGTTTCTGTCAGTAATCCCCTTTGCACTATACTGCTAAATTTCCTTCTATGTACGTTCCAAAATTCCTCAACCAGGGTCAGTAGAACTGGGATGACATGTGAAAATTACTTCCGCTCTTGTGCTCTGCACACCATTGTAGTACTAAGAATAAGAGTTTACATATGTTAAATCGTATACTGAAGAAGTACGTCACATTAGTTTAGTAGAATAGCGAGGAAACTACTGCACATCTTCATAGATAGATCAGTTGATGCAACTGAAAGTTTTCAGGGGTTTTTGCTTTGCGTGCCATCCTTTCAGTGTATCAGCCCTGCGAGGGAAGGGCATGTGCCAATAGGATTCTCGAGATCAGCGTGTTACAACAATCGTTTCTGTATTACCATGCGTAACCGTTCGAAGTAGCAAAGAATCGATTAAAATTAAGTCAGATGTAATTTAAATCTATTATTATATATTTGACAGTTCATTTCCACCCTGCCCATAGGCTTCTCTACCGTATGGGGAAAGAAGTCCAAGAGCCTAAGCCAAATTTCCCTCCTGTATGGATGCCCAAACCTTGCATATACAATATCTAGTTGGGTTGCCTTCTTTTCCATCTCCATGAATGAAAACTGCTTCATTTCAGGACACCGCAATTTATTCTAGCTTTTAGTATGCATTCACATGCTGCTATATATCACTGGGATTTTTACTGAAAACTTGAAATAAAAATTCTGAACTCTCTCACCGACCTTGTCAAGATTTCCTAGTAATTGCAGATCATTGCGCGATTCAACATATAACCGGTTATTTTGATAAAATTCTCGAAGTCCATAGTAAAATTTGACGTCTCCCTAAATGATTTTTTTTGCAGTAACGGACAAAAAATCTACAACTAAATAACACAAATGATAAAGAAGAAAGTTACTGTATAATTTTCAGTAATAGCGAACGAAATATGACACAGCGTAGAACCGTCCGGGTAAGAAAAATCTTCGATCTGATCAGCAGAGTATCCAATGCTAGTCGTGCAATTACCGTAATCGATAACGAGTTCCAACGCTAAATAGAGTGAAAATTCGGCTTTCCATTAGTGGAAATTCCATAAAGATGCAATACTCTTATGCTTTGCATCTTTGTGGAACATAAATATTTCTCGAAAATCATGATCCCAAAATTAGTGGAGGTGATGCAGTGGCCACTATATTTCCATAACCCCAGTCAGACGAG